CTCCATAACCTTTTCCACTCAATCTACTCTCCCTCCCTCATCACTGCCGCCTATCTGTACCAGCCCTCAACAGGGAATTGAATAAGAAATCAAGATTCCAAAACACAATTCATGCTATTTATATAACAGTTCTGTTACTTTGAGATTAAAGAGGCTTTTGGTTAGTACTTAAGAAGGTACCATTTACTGCATTTCTCCATAAATCATTAGATCCTAATAAATTTTGGGTATAATGCTTCACACTGTACCTATCACACTGTAAGCATTCAATAACTATTTTCAAAACAGATAAACATTGCTGTCTTATTCTTTTACCTTTTCAGAAGTCTTTTACTATCAACTCCTACTCTCAAATATAGCCCCATAAATAAACAGGCTCTAGTGTCTCATATCTTAAAAATAAACATAAACATGGCAAAAAAAAAAAAAAATCCATAGAACCTACTCTTAGCCCTACACAACACCCTAGCCAAGTTCCTGAGGAACACAATTTTTGAAAGATTTACTCACTGCCTCCACTTCTTTACCTGGCATCTTTTTCGATTTTGCTTCCTTCCCATTAAGTCACCGAGCAAACTCTCACAACAAAGAACCATTAATAAGAGTATGTATTCTATCATCAGAATTCCAGCCCCTGGATTTATTAGGTATGTGATTTACCTAGGCTAGTCCCTCAGTCTTTCTCAGCTGCAGTTACCCATTGCTAAAAGTGAGTGACAAATATATATCCCTACAGTGTTCTTTGGATGACTCAATGAAACAGAAAGGTAAAACAGTACAGTGCTTAACACAGAGTAAGTATTTAATAAAAGTTAGCTGCGATTACTCCTGTTAAGTGATTCCTTTCAGTTTTTGCTCTCCTTGGTCATAGGTCCTCATCTTCCACTTTCACACAATATACTTTCACTAAGCAATCCTGTCCACAACTGGTTTCAATTAATATCACAATTCTGATGACCTACAGATTTGTATGTCTCATTCAGAAATCTCAGGAGCTTCAGCCCATATGTATTCAACTACCTCCCTAATATGTCCACTTGAACATACCAAAGGCACTTCTAATTTAACCCAGCACTCTTAATGTGCCCTCTAGTACCTGCCATGTCATCCCTCACTCTCTGTCACCATCAGCGAAACACCAGTTGTGAAAGCCAGAAATAGAGGAGTTATTTTTGACACATCCCTAGACATTTTTTCATATCCTTCCACATCTAACTTCTCCACAATCAAAACTCAAATTCAAAATGTATCATCTCTCACTTGAAAAAGCCTCCTAACTGGTCTTCCTCCTTCAAACTATTCTCCAAGCATCTACCCTAAGCCCTTCCAATCATTTAAAAAACTGTAGTTTAAGAGTATACTTCAGTTATACGTCTTGTAGTACCTCATACACAGAATTAGACAGACCTGAGATGATTCTCAGATCATTAAGTAAATCTCTGTGAACCTAAGATTATTTTCTAGCTGTATATCCTTTCACAAATTATTTGGCCTCTCCATGCCTCAATTTATCTGCAAAATGGAGACGACAGTACTCATCTCCTGTTTTTGTCAAGAATAAATTAATGGTGGTAATAAGAAACTTAATTAAGTGCTTGCCACTTACTGAAGACTAAATAAATGTTAGCTATTAAAACAAGCTGAGTGTAACTTTCCCCATTGCCCAAGTTCTGGTGCTCATGTCTCCCATAGCCTATTTTAAAAGTCTCCTAACCAGTCTCACTAATCTTCAAATGCCCAAAGCCAAAATAAAGTATGGCACACTTGCAGGCTTCAATAAAAGTCAGGTAAATCTTTTAGTACTCTAGGTTTAAACTAAAGATTAGGTCCAAACTTCTTTAAGCTTGGCCTATGATATAGCTCTGGCCTACCTTCTTAATTTCTTCATGTGCTTCTGATTTAGACTTATCAAGCTAGTACTAAAGTAACACCTCTATTAGGTCTGCCCCAGATAATTTGGGTTTTATTTTTCCTCTGTCTGCAGTACTTATTTCTGCACTGATTATCACATCACTAGTTATCACAATTTTAAGGAACAGGAAACCATAACTCAAGTTAAATGACTGGTCAGAATCACCTAGCCTGGAGACTGGGCAAGATGTCAAGGCAAGTGTTCTTTGCAATATATTAGACGTTAAACTCCTCCAGCGAGTACTCCCACCGTAAAGGATGGGGAAGGCACAGACACAAGCTGCTCCTACCAGCTTGGAATACTATGCTTCATCTTCAAATCACTGTCAGAACTTTGAAAAAGTCGAGAACAGGAGTGCCTCAAATAAAGGATTCCCTTTACTTTAAAGTGAAACTGTAAGTTTATTCTGTGTTTGCCTGCAAACTCAATCCAAGAAACTATCTTCAGCCTTCATTTTCATCATTATCCACAAGGATACGATATACAGGTAATGACAACGCTGCAGTTACTGTTATTTTTCATAGCGTGAAATCAAGCACTGCTAATATGTTTAAAAAGAGAACTGGGGCACTGAGAACCCTCCCAAGTTTCCTTACATAAGAAAGGTTGAAAACAAAAGTAAAGCCGGGGATCCCAGGGCAAACTTGAGTTTTCTTAAGACCACATTCACTTCTCTAGAGTAGGGCTTCTCAACCAGGGCACAAGTTCAAAATTAGGCCAGATAATTTCTTGTTTGCAGGTCTTTCTATGCATTGTGTGCTGTTTACCTTTACCTACTAGATACCAACAGCATTCTAACCCTGAGTTGTGACAATCAAAAATCACCAGACATTGCCCAATGACCCTTGGGGGCAAAACTGTCCTGTTTAGTGCTCTAGAGTGAAATCTGGTATATCGTTTTTCTGAGAGGAAACATTTAATTGGAAAGCTTCAAGCACCTTACTCTAGGAAGCTGCGGGAGAAAAGAGACCTCTCTACATTTGCACAGGGCACCCTTATAAAAGAAAAGAATGTCTGTGGCTTCTTGATGCTAACTTTCCATAAGGAAATAAACTGAGTAGGATTCAATCTGAGGTCCTTACCATAAACTTCAGGTGAGGCTTCAAAAACAGCCAGGCATTTAAGACTGTACTTCTGGGTGTGGAGCAAAGGGAGTGAAGAAAAAAAAAAGAATCTCTAACTGAGTCTCTACTTACATGGCTACATTTGGCTTCTAGTCTAACTACCTAATGACCAAAAGGGGATAGTTCGACGTGACACTGTCCTATATTGCTACTGTATAATGAACATAACCTCAATCACCATCCAACACGCACACAAAGATGTACATGCAAATATTCAAACAACCCTGGGAAAACAAAAAGGCAGATACTTTTTCAACATCTACAATTCCGAAAGCTTAGCTGTAATGTTTAATAAAACACAGCTCACTACCCTTAGCAGTTATTCCCTTAAAGTGTTTGCTAGTAAGTGAGAGAGCAAACTCAGAATCCTGTGGAAGTCACCCAAAAGACAAAAGCTTTGGCAGATGAAGAGTAGGACTGTATTTGCATGTGAACACACATGCACAAACAGATTTATGTTTTCAATATTTAAGAATAGTTTTATCTTTACCTTTACCTCTGTTTGCTATATTTCACTCTTACTGACTTTAAGCTTCTACAATTTTACTTTTTCCCTAGGAAATCATACTATAAATTCTGTTTTAAGTAGCCTTCTATGAGGATCTAGCTAAAATGAAGAGTGAGATAGTTGATATAAACTGTGTAGTAAAGTCTCAGGAGCCTTAGATTTCCCATCTGTAAAGTGAGCATAAATAAAATTTACTTATAAAGTTGCTGTGAGGATGGAATAAAGTCCTGCCTTGTTCAGTATTGGGGCACCTAGAATACACTCAATAAATTTTTACTATGGCTACTGTTGTAACTATTACACCTCAACTTGTCTGAAACTCTTGTTTATTCCACAAAACGCTGTGTTTTGGAGGAGAGGTGCAAACACTTACTAGTCTGTGATAAAGCAGGGTAGGGCAAAAGCAAAAGTGAAAATGTGTATTTTGTTTGAGACTTCTTGTATCAATTACATCTGGTATTCAGCAGCTAATAATGGGAAATTCAATGTTCCTTGCTGTCACAAAAAAATAAAAATTAAAAAAAATATATACAGAAAGAAAGAAAACCGCAGGAAGAAGACAGAGTAGAAGAATGGTTACACATGATATGGAATTCTAACGATGACAATACTCTCCTAACTCATTCAAGAACAACAGTACTAAGGTCAAATACTTTCCAAAGAAGCCAGGAGTTAGATTTCACTGTTTATCTAATTAATTAAATTCCACTGGAACAATTTATTCCTCCAATAGTCAAAATGTCTGAATTTCCCTAAGAAAATATCAAGAAATCTACCCAAAGGCAAGTGTTTTTCAATTTTTATTTTATGGAGTAAATAAGGGATAGATGGTTGAAATGAAGTTGCTGAGAAATACACTTCCAAACACCTCCTTGAAGGAACCCCAAAATATATGCCATTAAGATGGTCCTGATAACTACAACTAAAGTCAATTCATAAGCATCCACCCCACAAAGGCCAGGCAGCAACACTTCCACAGTTGCTCGCCTTCAGTTGGCTCCTCGTACATCGGCCAAAAAAATGTCCATTATACAGTCACGAACGTTCCAGTAATTAAATCAAGGAAGGGTAGAGGACTTTGGGGGTTCAAGTGCAATCCCTTTTATTTTACGTAAGAACTTAACCGTAGCATTTTGATATGAAAGCCCTCCCAAAACACAAAGCTCCCGACCCAGGTGCAAAAACCGCACATACACTCGAACAGGGGCCGGGGGCACGGTTCCTGAGTTAGACTGCTTGCAATCTTACCCAGCTCTTCCACTAACTGCATGACCTTGAGGACCTAAAGTTGGGCATCTCAATCTCCATCCACATCTGTAAAATGGGAGCCAGAACCCCGACACCTGGGGCGGTTGTGAGGAGTCTACATGATGAGACACGTTCCAAGGCTTCCGTGATCCCTGGCCGGAAAGCTCAACCCGCCGCCCCAACGGTGCCCGGCGCTCGCGGGACCCACCTGCACGTTAGGGAAGGCAGTCTTGAGCAGGTAGTACATCTTGCGGTTGGAGAGTACGTCCCCGCTGGTCATCTTGTCGTCGGCTCCCTCGCGCGTCTTCCCCTTGGACTTCTCCTCTAGGACGTTGCTTTCGCGAACGCGCCTCACTTCGTCGCCACCGCGAACAGCGGCCAGCACAGACACGGCCAGCATCTCGCGCAAGTCCACGGTGCCGCCGTCGGCCGCGATCACGGGTCCTGCCGCGCCGCCAGGCTCGCTTCCCAGGCCGAAGAGACTGAAGCGGCCTGCCAGGAACCCCGAATAGAGGTGGTAAAGCACGCCGAGCCCTAGAAGGCAGAACACGGCCACCCCCAGTGGGGACAGGCGGATGCCCATGGGGGCCATGTCGCCAGAGGCCGGGCAATCCGGACGGCGGCCTTCAAAGGCCTCCCAGGGCACGCCGCCGCCGCCGCCGCCGCGCTCCCCCGCCAGGCACCGTGCGTACTACACCGGCGCCCGCTCCCCGGCGCCCGCGCGCCCCATAGCTCTTCCCCTGGAAAGGATGAGCCGCGCCGCGAAGCACACCTTCGCAGTCCCACGCGCCCAACTGCCCTGGGCGGCAGAGCCCCAACTCTGCTAGAGCCGGCCAGCGACTCCCACGTCCACGTTAGCCAACTGCCGGGAGGTGAAAGGGTAGCGTGGGTGTGTATCCGGGTTACGCAGTGGGGTGGGGTGAGAGTAAGAGGCGGGGTAAGAGGGACTCCTCCCTTGGGGCGGGGCGGACGTCTACGTGCGCTTGGAAGTGTTGGGCTGGCTGCCGCTTTTCATTGAGGCCCGCGGTATTTCGGTTTTCAAATCGCTTCTGGATGTGGGAAGCTACCTTACACACAGCAAAGGATAGTGAATGCCTTGTGAAAATTTAATCGACCTTGGAAGGTCAATGGATGGCTGAAATAAAGCCATATTGACAGTCCTGACTCTTGAGGGATGAAGGAAAATAGGTCATTTTAAGAGAGATCTGTGTACTTTTTCCTTCAGCGATTGCCTTTTTAAAACGCCTCTGCGCTCTTGCGGGCAGAACAGGAGGTAAGCAGTGACAGGAGGAATTTTACTTGCTGCTTTCTCTATTCTGCTGGCATCTCTTGTAATCTAAAAGCTTATGCTGTATATCGGTAGGCATAGATACCGCACGTTTCCTCCACCTGACGATATAACCCATCCTCAATGTCAGCGATTTTCACCCTTTTTCATTCTGTGGTACACCAAAAAATATATACTTTTGCCGACCTGACCAAAAAAAAGTATGAATTTGATTCATTCACATCGGACGGTTATCACTGTGTTGTTGGCTGTTGTCATTTTGTTTTTTTTAATTTGATAATCTAAGGGAAAAGAGTTCAGTGCCCTTGACTACTTGAGTACTGCACGTTTTAAAAATATTTGCAGCCCACCAGTTCTGGGTCACACCAGGTGAAAATCACTGCTCTATGTAGCTGAAAAACATGCCTCGATGCTGGGCTTTCATAATGAAAAAAGCATTCCAGCCTCTTCTCTCTTCCAAGGATACTTATATTTTCCTCCCAGAGTTTGAGGAAGGAGAGGAATTGCCTGAGCAAGAACGCTTGCTGTAAAGGTTGTCCCAGAATGTTCAGTCAAGCTAGAATACATAATCTTTGAGTCAACATAGGCCTTCCAAATGTACTTACAGAAGCATTTAATAGAAATAATTCCCTTCTACTATGCCAGAATAGTAGCAAGAATAGTGAATACTTAAATTTTAATTAGTATTATAATTAGTATTGACAAGTTTATCTTCCATCTTAAAAGTGAATATTAAGATGTGCAGTATCATTCTAAAATGTTAGAATAGTTATATAAAATGAATTTAAAATGCAGCCTCTTTTACTGTTCATAGCCAGAAGTCATTGAAGTGGCTTTAATGTTAACGACCTTAAAAACTGCAAGTATACAGAATAGATTCTGAACTTCTATTGCTAAACAAGTGATTAGAGATAGCCTGACCTTTGCCATTTCCTTAGAATTCAGGGCATCTGTATAGTTTGCAGAGGGTTATACAGATAAATAAACATATGGTTATACAGATACAATAAACAAAGACTATTGATTGCTTGGATTCCCTGTCAGCAATCTGTAACAAGCTTAAAAATGATCACAGCACAAAATCCAGTACAAATACAAATCAATGAAAAAACAGCTCCTGGAATGTTGGCAGCACCAGATCTTAGGGAACTGGCTCTGTCCTTGCCAGTTTTGGGAGCATTTTCCAAATTAAACAAAGCTCCTTTAAGAAGAAATCTGAAAGCAAAAGTCACCAAATCCAAGGATAAATATAAAGGTTAAGGGTTGAAGTATAAAGGCGTAAATTCCAAAGAAGCACCTGAAGCCACACTATGATACAAACAAAATGTATGGGTTGCGTAGTAGTTATGAAACTATTAAAAGCATCATTGGAAAACCTGGCTGAGGTTTGTAAAAATGAATATTGTTTTCCAGGGATATTGGAAAGAAATACTAAGCCAAGGTCTCTGTGACACTATACAAAGCATCAGGGAGACAACTAGAGAGATACTAAAAGCTCTGGAGCATTAACACTACAAGAACGGGATTTAAGAGTTGAAGGAGAAAATGCCAAGGCATGTAAAAAGAATGAGAGTGGGTTTAAAGATCAGAGTTTTGAGAGATGCTCTAGTACTCAGGTGATAATTGATAAAAGATAACATGTAGCCCTAGTTGGTGCGGCTCAATTGCTTGGAGCATCGTCCTGTAAACCACAGGTCTTAGGTTCAATTGCTGGCCAGGGCACACACCTAGGTTGCAGGTTTGGTCCATGGTTGGGATGCATACGAGAGGCAACAGATCTATGTTTCTCTCTCACATCAATGTTTCTTCTCCTCTCTCTCTCTGCATTGCCCTCTCTTTATGATCAATAAGCTTGTCCTCAGGTGAGGATTAAAAAATAAAGATAACATGTAATTATTAACAAGTTCATGACAAGAAGAAAAAGTTGAATTAATTACATGTGGGACAGTGATACTGTCTTAAAATCTCCATAGGAATTTGGAAGAAATTTGCTTTTTCAGTAACAAGTTGTTAGAACCTTAAAAATGTATTTATAATAATGAAAATTATATGAAAGTAAATGTAAAATAATTTGTGAATGTATGGTTCATGAATTGAAGTAAACTGGTCTTTCAAAAATCTTTCTCTAGTTGTTGAGGAAAATGAGGACAACCTAATATTTCTTCCATGTAAGTACTGATAGCAACAAAAGCTGACATACAATAGAAATTTCTTTAATCACTTTCCACTGCACTGGCTCGCCAGACACTGCCCCCACCATTTGTGTGCTCGCGCCTCGTAAGGTCAGGTGCCCTTCGAACACCCGCCCCCTTCCGCTGTCACTAGTCAAGCTTTATATACTTCTAGAGTTAGTTTTATTTCAGCCTCATTTTGCCATTGTGGTTATTATTATAAATACATATAAGTTAAACAGCATGTAAAACAACTAAGCATGAGTGTAAATATAAAGCTGAAAGCTTTGGATGTCTTGATAAAGGCAAGTTGCTAAAAACAAAAATTGTCATCAAATTAGATTTGGAGCAAAAATTGTTGCTGATTGTGAATAAAAAGAATCAAAAGTTCAAACAGGTGCTGAAAGAGGATTGCTTGACTTAAAACAACCCAAGCTGTCATCCTAACTACTGTATTATATGGTTGAAATAGATGAATGAATAAAAAGATAAAGAAGGGCGGGGTATGTACACAACGAGATATTATTCAGCCATAAAAAATGAACGAAACCTTGCTGTTTGCGAGGACATGAGTGGACCTTGAGGTCATTATGCTAAGGGAATAAACAATGAGGCAGAGAAGGGCAAACACCATATAATCTCACTTATTAAATGGACACTAGAAAAACAAAATAAATTAATAAAACAAAATAGATATAGACCCATAGTTATAGTGAACCAGCTGATGATTGTCAAGTGGGAAGGTGGAGAATGGGAATAAAAATTTTTTAAAAGTCAAATATTTATAATTCCATTTATATTAACATCTAGAATAGGTAAATTTACAGAGAAAAAGAGTTGACTAGTGGCTGCAAGGGGCTGGTGGGTGGGAAGGAATCAGGAGTGATTGCTAATAACCCAGAGCTTCTTTGTGAGATGATGAAGTGTTCTGAAAATAGACAGTGTTTATGAAAAAAAAAAATGAACTGCAAGTAGTGAATATACTCAGAGAAAGTCCTTGCCTTATATTAAAAGATAGGCAAGTGATAATATATGGACATCTTTTACATGTTTAACATGTCTAGGTTTCCTATAAATTCCCACATTAATTGTTTTCTCAATTAACTGACCCACTCCAGTCTTGATTGCACCTAACAAAGGACCTTTCCTAAATGGGTTTTGCTACCTTTCTGCAAATACCATCTTTCCTTATGCTCTCCATTATTTGTAAAGTAAATAATACACATTAATGGAATTATTAACATCTTAAATGATGAGGATATTTCAGTTTGTCTGTATGACTCCTGACCCCAAAAGTTACCTTGGGGAAACTGTGTGTGTGTGTGTGTGTGTGTGTGGTGTGTATGAGAGAGAGAAAGAGAGAGAGAAGAAGGTATTTGCCAGTTAGTTTCCTTGTATTTTTTTTCCAAAGTGCTTTAGGGGGATAATATAATTAATTAAAGTTTCAATGAACTGATGGCATTTTTTCATGTTTAAATACCAAAAATCCAAGAAGAGTATTACTTGTAGTCTTCCCTTAAATGATTCAATCCTATAAACACAATAATTCTGTATTTTAATAGACCAGTGTTATGGTATTTGGTTTTGTTATTATGGTTGTATCTTTGGCAGCATATACAATTTTGGGGGCAATGGTTTTCATATGTTAGGGTTGTGGGTGGTCTATTTCTAATACATGATCTACATTCATACTTAAAATTGTTTTCCCCCAAGATTTAGAAATACTCAACTAAATGGGTAACTTTTTTCAATTAATATAAAATAATTATTTTAGCATTATAAACTTTTACTGTGGTCCTGGTCTTAGCAACGATAATAGTGAATACTTATTAATTAGAGGCAATGTTGTAGGTACACACAATAGAAAATTACTATAACTTTTACCCTTTAAAATTATAATCACTCTAAGCTATATGAACATGAAGTCAGGTAGGTATTTTACATACTTTTATATCCTCTGACATAACTCAGATCCTTTTTCATATACAAACTCAGTAAATACTTATTGAACTGGACTTCTAGTTTTTTAACAAAATTTTTATTTTTAACAAAATTTTGTATATCATATAAAGGGTTTTAAAAAATATTGAACTTAACAAGTACATTAAAGACCCAACATTTATTTTGTGTGTTCAAAACATTTGTTTCACAAACATGTAAGTCAGCTGAAATAAATATTTGCATTGTAGCTGTGAATATGTCAAATATTTATTAATTTGTGTGTGTGCTTTTTATTCAATGCAATGCTTGACAAAGATTCAATTCAGTCAGTAATGTAAAACTTTCCACATTTTATTCTCTCAATGGTATGAATTCATACTGCATACTTCGCACACTATCTACCTTAAACCCAAGTTAAAATGATCTTCTTAAAACTCCAC